CGGCTATCTAAAAATAGTTACACGAATTGCTCGGTTTGAACAGTTTGAACCCATATTTTTTGAAGATTCATCTCGTCTCGGAACACATTTGGAGCGATGACTACCTCGTGCGTTCGTTCTACCTGAAGAATCTTCGCAACGGTCAGACACGTACCATCACCCAATTCCACTACTTATCCTGGAAACATGGCGAGACACCATCTAGTCCAAAGAGTCTCATCGAATTCAGACGGTAAGGCGATGACTTCGTGCGTACCTAGAGAGAGCGTGTATACGAACAGACAATGAGGTTGAGAACAGGGAAGGCTCGCATAAGGTACAGGTGTAAACGAAGAAGACAAGTCTGAGAGGACATCGAGTGGCGAGGGCAATAAGTGAAAAAGGAAAAAGAGGTAGCCAAAAAGGTAATGAATCGATTAAAAAAGGCGTCGCCTAAGAAATGGTGCGCCTTTTAGATTTCGTGATTAGACTTAAATCGCATAAAGTGCTTAGATTCAGAAAGTCAAAGTTCAGCAGTAAAGAGTGGAAAGTGAATTTGATTAGTTACAGCGGAAGAAAGCGATAAAAGTGAGGGAGAACTGAGGAAGCGAGTAAAAAGAAGAAGTTCGTACTGCCGTACTGGGGGTTGCTGAATGAGCACTTTGTTGGGGCAAAGCAAAGGGCCAAAATAAATAACAATAGGATAAAGGATAAAAGGATAAAGCATTTGCCGTTGATCAATCCCTTTTTGGGATGCGGCACGCATTCTACTTCCATTTGTACATTCGTAGTGGCGTTTGAATGCGATGTGGCCTATACAATGACTTGCGGGGGCCAGCCGATGTACAAGTCAGTGTTTTTATCCTCCCAGACAAGTCTGGTACCAATTAACCGACCCCGGAGGGATGGAAGGCTTGGTTGGCCCGGGCGACTCACGACCCAGGATTTGATCCCCGGACCGCTCGCGTGGTAAGCGTGCCACTTGCCACTACACCACTTCCGCCCTTCTTCAACACTTTAAACAATAGGGCACAAGGGATAAATGAGCTGGTGTGCCTCTTGTACTCACAATCGGTCGTGAGCAAACAATCTTTGCAGTAACCACACTACAGTAATTAACAGTAATTATGCATTTCAGCAAAGTGAACAAGTCATATCGTGGTCGTGCGTCACCGGTGTTAGTGCACTCATGGGATGGAGCCGGTCGAACAGGTGTCTTCTGTGCTGTTGATCTCTTATGTGGACGTCTTCTGAAAGGTGTTCGCCAACTGGACGTCGTCGCCTCCGTCGAACATCTTCGTGATCAGCGAGATGGTGAGTTTATATTCAACTAACTTGGCACTTCACTTGAATGTTGCTCAATAGTAATCTGTCTCTCTCACTAAATAACGTATAG